CCAGCGACGGTAGCTCGCTCGACACGGACAACGACGAAGGCCACACTCGTGACCCACCACCTGCCCAGGTTCCCGACGCCCTCCCCGCCAACGCCATTGTTGCCAACACCAATGACATGCTTAAGCTCATGGTCGACACCTGGGAGCCCATCTTGGGCAGGTACCGCGCTCGCGCGGGCCATGACCGAAGCTATGCCGACGTGGGCAGACTTCTACGACGAGTACCGACAAGAGCTGCCTACGCCATCACCAGCAGCCCCTTTCCACCTCACCGACGACAAACTCATCCACTTCATTCGCACCCGTTCACCGCGCCGCGCGGGGGGACTCGACGGCTGGACAACTAAGGAGGCTAAGGAGTTACCCGACGACATCCTTCGCCTCTTCGCCAGCGTCTTACGTGATATGCAACGCACTGGCACCATCCCAGAGCCCCTCCTACACGTGCCAAACCCGTGCCTCCGAAAAGGCCGAGGGGAAGTCCCGACGGACCAACGACTTCTCTCGGTTCTTTCCGTCTGGATGTACGCGTGGGAAGCGCCAGCCTACCGTAGCCTGACGGACTGGCGGAAAGGATGGACCCACGCCACGAGCTTCGGCGCTGTTCCCAAGGCCACCATTGGGGATGTCAGCACCTCTCTCGCCCTGCGCATCGAGCATGCCAGGGCTTTACTCCTCCCCTTAGCTGGAGCTGCCCTTGACCGACAGAAGTGCTTCGACTACCTCATCACGGACATCTGCCTTAACCTTGCGCTGCACGCGGGGTGCCCTCAAGAAATCGTTACTGTCCGCCGAAATTTCTACAGACACCACAAACGCTACATCCGCATGAACGGAGCGTGCTCTAAGGACTTGGCCAGGACTAACGGTCACCTCCAGGGAAGTTCGTGGTCCCTGGACGACATCAAGCTGCTCATGTGCGTGTGGACAAAGAGGCAGCATCGATACGTTCCTCGATCACTCAGCACTACCTTTGTTGACGACAGCAACTCCACGACCCACACCGCGTCTGAGCTGCAGAAATCTCTTGACGAAACCGCCAAGTTTGATCGATTCTCAGGTCAACGCATTCACCCTGGTAAAGTGGCAGGGTGGGCGCTCACCGACGAGCTCCACGCCGCCGTTACCCAGCTCACACTGGCGGAGCGCCCCCTACGTGTGGTCGATTCCTTCAAGCTCGTCGGGAGTTACATCAACGCAGAGGCAGCGCCGGCTCCAGCCGCGCTTAACCTCACGGCCACCGCTGACGCCCGTGTACGGAGAGCGACTATCCGCCTGCCGCGCATTCGCAAGCTCCCATCGCCGATGCTTATCAAGGCGCGGCACGCCCGTTCCCTGGCTGCCAGCGTCTGCACCACGGGCACCGACATTCAAGCACCATCAGGCCCAGCCAAGACTGCCTACAACCACGCCCTCAAGGCGGCTATCCGCCCCAAGGGGAACAAGTGGGTCGAGTTCTGGACTCTCATGGCCGTGTGCGTGCCGGGACACGCCCTTGAGATCGACGCCATCACGCAGCGTGAAGCATTCCTGTGCCTGCGGCGACAGGTAAACCGCGACGTTTCACTCTGCGGGCTCGCCAGAGACCTTCAACACCACGTCCAGACCCTGTTTGGTGGAGGACCCGTCGGACGACTCGTCCAGTCGCTCCAGCAGCTCCGATGGACCTGGCCCACATTTGGCATTATGTACGACGACTGGGGCTGCCAGATCAGCTGGCTGAATTTACCCCAAAACGCCTTCCTACACATGCTGCGGGCCTCGCAACGCAGGGCTTTTCTGCGGAGGATCAAGCCACGGCGACACGACCTTGGCTACCTAGACTCTGTCAGACAGGGCCTCGACCTCTTCGCCAGCACGTGGCTCGCCCGAACTAAAGGAGCAGCCAAATGCACTGCCTGGCAGCTGGCGCTCCTCCTGAACTACCTGTCGGGCGGGGATCACACCCAACAGCGACGATCCCGATCAAACACGTCGGCAGACCCAGCCCCATCTGCCGCTACTGCGACGAGGAAGAGGAAACTCAGGAGCACACTGTCCGCGACTGCAAGTGCTGGGCCCGTGAAAGACTCCCTCTCACCACCCTCATCAGTGACGACCAGTGGGCCCGTCTCCCGCCGCACACAAGACACTGCGGGCTCTTTGACGAAGACCCAGCCCTCCTTGACCTGCAGGCCGACCTCGCGAGGGACCCGCTGCCACAGCCCATACCGCGGCCCCCCCCTGAGGGAGATCCTGCGGCTTCAGCCCAGGACACCTACACCACCTACCTTGACCACGACACTGGTTGGACATGGGTTTACGCTGCCACGGACGGTGCATGCACCAACCAAGCCATCCCATTGCTAGCAAGAGCGGGCTACGGCGTCTACTACGGCATCGACCACCGCATGAACTACAGTGCACGCGTTCACGGCCTAACGCAGAACGCCCAGGTTGCGGAGACCCTCGCCATTGTCCACCTACGGCATGTGCCGAACGGCCCGTGCACGTTTTCGTGGACAACCAGGCGGTGGTCGATGGGTTCCAAAGCATCATCGACGGACATCCAGCGCCGCAGGGCACGCACGCGGAGCTCTGGGAAAAGATCCACCGATGTGTTATGGCCAAGCCCAAAATGTTTCGCGTCGAAAAAATCGCCAGCCACCTGGGAGACCTGGGCATCGACCTTGGGCTCATCGGGCCCATTGCGGAGGAGTTCAACCGTCAGGCCGACGCCCTTGCCACAATGGCGGCACGCACTCACAACCTTCCAGACGACATTGTCGAAGCTGCCAAAACACGACATCGCCAAGCGACCGTGCTCCATGGGGTCGCTGTCGCTATCTACGAGCGCAGACACCGCACTCTGCCGCTCCCACACCGCAGGGCTGGGTTTACAGCTGCGGAACTCAGCAAAATGGAACCAAACCCCCTGCTGTCGGACCAGGCACCACCCGCGGCTGGACCATTCATCCCGCAAGACCCGGATGAGCTCTGGGCCCAGGCCCAACGGGCGACGCTCGTTGAACAGGAGGACGACCCGTTCGGCTTCGGTGGGGGATTGGACTTCTTGGACGACGGCCCAGCCAGCGCAAACCCTGCCCCGTCGGGCAACCTCTCGACGCCTACCGCGACTCCGACACCGAGAGCGACATCGCACCCACATGATGATGTCGCTCACCGCCAAGACGCCGACGATGACCTGGCTGATCCCCTCGGACTGAGTGGCAGCATGGACGACGCTCCGCCGACACCCCACGCTGCCGACGATGCCGCCCCATCGAGACGCCACCCGACTACGCGGCCGACATCCGAGCCCTCGCACGGCATCATCATTGGTCCTACCGTGCCACCCACTCCGTCCCCCCACCAGCGCCAGCCCGCGGGGGCGGCTCCAGCCCCCCCGCAGGGCACCGAGCCAGTCAGGCCGTCGCACACCGTCCACGCTTCCATTGTTGCTGGGCGCGAGGATGCAGCTCTTCCGACCTCACGGGGCGTGGCCCTAGCGGCTCCAGCCCTGGGGCCGCGTGTTACCCTCCAGTCGCCTATCAAGGGTGACGGCCGTCAGCACACGGAGTGCCGTACTGCGCTAGTCCACCACCTGGCTAGGCGCACTGATGACCTCGTCCCTCCCACGAGGCCCGCGGCCGCTGGCACTGAGCAGCTGCCCCTCACCGACCGCGAAACTGAGCTGTCCCAGGCTATGGCCGCTCTTCAGCAGAGGTGCGCTGCTCTCGCCGCTGACCTTGCCGCTGCTCAAGCCCGTCAAGGCCCTCTGCTCCAGCGCCTCCACCGCGCCGGGCGTGCCTTCGCCGAGCTGCTTACGCCCTCGCCCGATGGTGCTACGCCGCCACTCACCATCCAATATATGCTGTCATCGCTCCGCGGCGCTCCACCTGGTGTCCCGCGCTAATTTCCTCCTCTCTGCCTGCCCGTGTGTACGCGTGGCTCCGCGTCCACGGTGTCAGGGCGCGGGGGCGGGGGGTGCCCCGTCCCTGCGCGCCGCTTTGCGGCCAAGCGCCCACCTGGCGGTCTGCCAAACCGCCTAGCCACGTGTCAGCACGTCGCCTTCCTTGTTGGGGCCTCTTTCTTCACGCGGTCTGACAGGTGAGATCTTCACCGTCTGTCCGCCGTCTGTAGCGTCTGTCGCACTGCGCCGGGGGAGGGGGTTTTTGTTGCCCGCCCTCGTATCTTAAGGCTGCACCGCCGCAAATAGTGTTTTGCGAGTTGTCGCACCGCAGTGCGCCTCGCGGACGGACCCTGGTCCGCCTACTTGTCCGCTCTCTCTCTCTCTCTCTCTCTCTCTCTCTCTCTCTCTCTCTCTCTCTCTCTCTCGCATGGCATGCACCCCGAACATTTTGCCAGCGAGCGCCCTGCGCAGGCGAGCGCCCCTTCTCCCGAAATGATGGCCGCGACGAGGCTCGCGAGGAAGCTCAGATGCACATCCACCTCCCCTCTTCGCATTCAGTCGTCGCTCGACCCTCCCACTACGCCCCCCCCCCCCCTCCGCTCTGCCATCCGCATCTCCTCTCAGCCCTCCGTCGATCGCTATCATTGCCCACTATTCCTCCACGAGCTCGAGCCCCTGCCCCGGCCCTGGTCACCCAGCACGTACGCATATACAGCCGATCATACTGTGGATGATCATGTCGACGTCATCTCCTCCACGGGGCGGGGCTCTCGAGATCGATGCGGCATCGACCCCGCCATCGTGGGCTCAACAATCGCTCCTTCCTCGTGCTGCTGCTCCCCTCTCCTACTCCTTCCTGTGCTGTTGTTGCGAGCCTCCTCCCCCGCCCTCCTCGAGATCTACCTAGTTCCCCCGCCCCCTGCATCTGTCGGCCGACTGGCACTACTATATAGTAGTGCCAGTCGGGCTCTCGCTATTGCGTCGCGCCCTCCTGGGGCCACCCGGAGGGCAGGAGAAGCAGGGGGGGGAGATGAACAGGAGGTGGAGGAGGGGGAGGAGGAGTAAATGAGGGGAAGGGGAAGGATGATGATGAAAGAAATGTCCTGCATCACCTCGGCAGCTGCGAGTCGGTGTTCGCCAGCAGGACCAGCTGGTCGTTCTTGATCTTCGTCGCCATGATCTTCTCGGTGGCCTTCTGGCTGCAGAAGATCTCGAAGGACCACTGGAGGATCTTCATGGAGGCTGCCTTCGGGTTCTCGCACCCGTAGAGCTGGCACCTGTCCTTCATGGCGTTGTCGGACAGCTGCACGAGCTGCGCGAAGGCGCCCTGGCCCTGCTTGAGGTCGACCACCGTGATCTTCTCGGACTCCCTGCGCCTCAGCCTGAGCTTGAAGTCGGCGTCGTTCTTCGTGAACGGGTAGATCACTGGCCAGTCCCCCCTGACGTCGCGCGGGTCGAAGTCGCCAGTCGCCACGACCAGATCATCGACCTCGGCCTCGTCGGCTTCCTCGGGGTCCTCCTCGAACTCCTCTTCCTCCTCGCCGCCCTCATCCTCATCCTCATCCTCCTGGTCGAACTCGCTGGAGTCCTCCTCGTACGCTCCTTCGTCCTCACGCGCTGCCTTCTTGGCCGAAGTCGGCCCAGCCTCAGCCTTAGCCTTAGTAGCCTTCGGCTTCGCCTTCTGCTTCGCCTTCTGCTTCGGCGTCGCCTTAGCCTTAGCAGCCTTCGCCTTCGCCTTCTTCTTCGGCGTCGCCTGCGCACTCGAGCGCTTGAGGAGCCAGGCAGGGAGCGCCCCGAGCATCGGGGTCGACGGGCTGCCGACGACATCAACGCCACCTGATGGGCTGTCACCAGCAGGCGTCACTGTCTTAGCATGATTGTTCTTCCTGGTGCTGCTCTTGCTGCCATTCCTCCTCTTGCGGTGCTTCCTCTTCTTCCTCACCTCATCCTCCTCATCGACATCGATCACGCCGAGCATCGACTTCGCGAAGGGGAACGGCTGCGCGGAGCTCGAGGCGGGCATGCTGTCGACGGGACCAGCCGAGCCAGAGGAGCGCTTGAACTTATCGTCCTCTTCATCCTGCCCCATCTCCCCACGCTACCAGAGCTGTCGCGCCCTGAATCGACCCGACCGATCGCTCCATGAATCGATCGACCGATCTCTGCGAATCGGTCACGTCGGTTTTCACGAGTCGGCTCACCCTGCAGACCGATGCTCGGGACACACGGTCCTCTAGGTGGGATCTCGCATGCGATCTCTCTCTCTCTCTCTCTCCCTCTCTCTCTCTCTCTCTCTCTCTCTCTCTATTTCCCTCCCTCTCTGTCCCTCTCGGTGCATCTCGCTCCCTCCTCTCACTCTCACTCTCGCTCTCTCTCTCTCTCTCTCTCTCTCTCTCTCTCTCTTTCTCGCTATCTCGTTTTCCCGCTATCGTTGTGGTGGTGCTTGCGCATACGTATGCACACGGGTAAACCACACACATACATGCATCCATCCATTCATCCATCCACCCATCCATACATACCTGCAGGCACCCATGTATACATGCACACGCATGCACGTTCAAGCCACGACTGATCAGCACGCATTTCGAGGACGCGGACATGCTATACATTTGGACCTTGGACGCTGGCAAACGCGGAGTGCAATGTTGGGGGGCGAAACGGCCCATGAATGCACACCCCAATGTTGTCTGAACACCTTGTGCTTCCACGAGTGCGAAGTAGGTCCCGCCAGCCGTGCCACGATTTCGTTTGGGGGAACCTAGACATACATACACGCATACATGCATGCATGCATACATACCCGCACACGCATACATCAAACCATCAGTCCATCCAGGTGACGATGATGACCAGAATCGTCGGCTGCAGGATCTAGCAAAGTGGCAGTGCTATACAGCCATCGTGCATGCCGCCCATGGGTGGAAGCGGTGCTTGGCCAGCGCCAGCACGAGAGCGGCCCCAATAAACTACACGTGAATCGAACTGTATGCATGTATGCATGCATGCATGCATGCATGTATGTATGTTCGTTTGTATATATGTACGCATACAAGGACGCATGCGTGTAAGCATGCGGATATGCCTGCATGTAGGCACATTTGTACGTATGAACGTACGTACGTGCGTATGTATGTATGTATATATGTATGTATATATGTATGTATGCATGAATGTATGTATGTACGTATGCATGCATGCATGCATGTATGTGTGTTTGCATGCATGTGTACATGTAGGTATGTATGTTTGTCTGTCTGTCTGTATGTCTGCATGTATGTACGTATGTATATGTGTACGTATGTATGTGTGTATGTGTATATGTATGTGTGCATGCATGTATGCATGTATGTATGCATGTAGGTATGTATGCATGTAGGTATGTATGTATGTATGTATGTTTGTATGTGTGTGTCTGATTGTATATGTGATGTGTGTATGTGTCTGTGGGTGTGCATGCATGTATACATGCATGTATGTATGACGGTATGCGTGTATGTATGCGCGTATGGCCGTCTGCAATGAAACACGGGTGTCTGCATGCATGTCTGCATGCATGTATGGCTGCGTGTTTGGATTCACAAATGCATGCATGTAGGGATGGATGGATGGACGGATGGATGAATCTCATCATCGGCGCCAGCGCCGACCTCTCCCCACTCGCTGCGGATCCCCCCCCCCCCCAATCCATGAACGTTTCCGCGAGGCTCTCGGACAGCCGATGGCCCCAGTACTGCTGCAGCGCGCCGTCGGACTCTGAGTCCGAAGCAGCATCGCCATCATCGTCATCAGCACATATCGGCTCCTTCGCTCAGGTCGGTGACGGGCGGGCACTTCCCAACATTAGATCCCACGACGCTGCTATATCCTCATCCATTCGCTTCCTCCACTTCTTCCCCGCTCGAGGCTGCGAACGTCCCCGAAGACTGGCCTCCAAATCTAACCATCTTTACCGTTCCCGCTGTCGATGATCGGACCAGGGTCCACGCGCTGAACATTCCTGATCCTGACCACGCTGCAGGTCCAGCTCTTTACCATCCTCTCTACTCTCATTCCTCTCCTACTCCCCCCTTCTCCCTTCTCTCGCTCCCCGATCGGGATCCTACCTTCGCATGCGTGTCCCCTCGTCCTTCCCCACTCAAAATACACCCTCGCCCACCTCCTCCCCCTCTGCACCTTCCTCCTGCATCGTTCCTTAGCATCCGCGGCGGCATCCCCCCGCCCCGTCGACGGCCTGCCTCATCAACCTTCACCCCAATCTGCCCCATCACAAGCAATATCAAAAACAGAGGCGCGCAGGCTGGAATCCTGAGCGTCACTCTCGAGCTTCTTGGTGTGCAGCTGCGAGTCCCTGTGCATATCTCTGATGGCCTTCGCGTTGGGGAACCTGGCTCACGGGCCGTGGGGGGCCGGCGGCGGTGACGAGAAGAAAAACGAATCGAGCTCGGGGTTCATGGGGACAGAGGGCTCAAGGGATGGAGGGAGCCCCTCGAACGTTCGAGCGACCCCCTCCATTCATCCATCCCAACGGCGAGAGATGATGAGGTGAGCTCAGGTACCTGGGCTCACCTCATCATATCTCTCCGTCATATGTTCCCTCGTCTGCTCTCCCAGCCCCTCCCCTGCCCGAACATCGGCTTCGGCATGGAACCTGGTGCCCTCGAGCACCTGCTTGGTCATCTTCTTGTGGTGGATCGCCTTCCAGGCGGTCTTGACCGCCTCGCTGAAGGCAGCGCCCCACGCCGCCTGCGGGTATGTCTCTCGAGATATCCCCCTCGCTCTCTCACTCTCTCACTCTCTCTCTCTCTCTCTCTTTCTTTCTCTCTCTCTCTCTCTCTCTCTCTCTCTCTCTCTCTCTCTCTCTCTCTCTCTCTCTCTCTCTCCCTCTCTTCCCGAGCGAAGCCTGAACGGCTCCGATCCCGATGGCGCCGTGACCTGGCACTTCTCTGGTCCGTTCCCTGGTCGCTGGTACTTTCATATTGGGGTTATCGCTCTCGCTCTCTGTATCTCTCTCTCTCTCTCTCTCTCCCTCTCTCTCTCTCTCTCTCTCTCTCTCTCTCTCTCTCTCTCTCTAGTCTCGGCTCGAGAGTGCCCTGCACTCAGACCGCAGCCGCGACGCGAAGCGCCCCGCCTCGGAGTCAGACTCCCAGGCCTCGCGAGACCGGAGGGGTCCCAGCAGGACCCTACTGATTCGCGTCACCTCTCTCCCCACCAGAGCGCCCGCCGCAATGGCCCCCGGTAAGCCGGAGCGCCGTCGCTCTTCCAAGCAGCCGCCGAGCTCACGTCCTGCTGCCGAAGGGTCTCTCCTCCAACGCAAGCAGGACTGCATCGCAGCTTTCAAGCAAGCGGGGTCCGACCGCCCCACGGCCGCATACAATGGGCTTGCCGAGCTGAACGCGGACGAGCTTCAGGCCACGTACGACATGCACAAGACCAACACAAAGAAGCTCGGCAGTGCCTTGATCCGCATGTGTGCCGCCAACCAGATCAGCTACACGCTGGATCACCACCAGCGCAGCAAGCCTAAGCGCATTGGTGGTGACACATCACACCCACCAGCTGCGTCCGCACGTCTTCAGGCTGCGGACGCCCAATTCATTGCCTTGGACCCGGCCTTCTGGAAGGTCCCAGTCCTCGCCGAACCCACATCACTTGACGACGGCAAGACGTACAAGCCCAGTATCAGCCTCCACGACTACGAGAGCGGAGAACGGCTGCTGCAACACCACCTCGTGCAGGGTAAGCGTACCACGGGTCAGCTTGCGATTGCTGTCATGGGCCCAAAAAACGATAACTACGTCGGTACCGAGCTCGCCGTCCCCGTGCTGAAGCGTCACCCCAAGGCGCCCAAAGTGGTCCACACGCACGTCCCCGTGACCGTGTACCAGCTGGGCACCAAGGAAGTCGCCTGCACGGAAAAAGTAGCCGTCGCCACCATCGATCCTGCCGACCACGTATGCTGGATTCGGGTGACCATACATGAAACCGAGGCCATCGCCGCAGTCCCGTCCATGCATCAGGCCTTCGAGGATCAGTTCTCGGGAGGTGCCCCCGTGAACGGTGGTCCACGCGCCAAGGGTCCTTTCCGAAGGGACTCCGCTCCACAGGACAAGGCGCGCCAAAACCAAAAGCACAGGGAGTCCAAGAAAGACGCTCGCCGCCAGGAGCTCGATAGTCAGCTCCAGGACACCTTCAAGGCCCTCTTCCACGGCAACTTTAAAGCCGTCACCATCCTCGAACCCTGCAAAAGCCTAGGCAGGTATGGATCGGGCGTCGGAAAGAGGTCCCTGGCTGCCACCTTCGGCGTCAGTCTTCAAGCGGTTGACAAGGTCTTGGCGGGTTCAGGGCAACTCGGCGCCACCTACGACCTCAGCAACGTAGGTGCTGACGAGCCCACTGCAGACAAGTACCAGACCGTGTGGTTCCCTGAGGACCAGCCCATCACGATGGCAGATGCGTTCCAGAAGTCGGTGGACTTCAAGGCCCTAGGAGTCGTCAGGCACGGCAAGTCAGGCTTATTGGGGATCCGTGTTGCACGAGGGTCAGACGCCGCCAAGGCTGCTGCCGTCAGCATCCGTGGCTGCGAAGCCACCCTCGCCAAGACGCGATACCGCATCACTGGCATTGCGGCACGCCACGCCACGCTGACCCAGCTTGCTAAGACTCTCACGGGCCCGTCCGTCAAATGGGACTGTGAGGTCTACCACACCGCCTGGGACCCAGCCACTTCGGCTCAGTTTGCCTTAGTGCGCGCCCATCGTCCCCCACCCACATATACGGTACAGGTCGCAGGGTGCCCCATCCCGTGGAGCATCACCGAGGCCCCGTTGGCTGAGGTGGTGCCGAAGAGGGACAACGTTACCATTGTCACCCCTACCACTATCACAGAGCCTGTGACGCCGCCAGCCCGTGGTGGCGGCTTCAGCCCCGCCACGGGCACACTCCTAACCAAAGCGGCCCAGAGCCCTTACCTCCACGACCTCATGACTGCCACGCCCAAAGGCAAGGGCGTCGCACCGCTCCTGATCCCCAAGGAGGAGCCTCTAGCCAAGCGCCACCGATCCTCCAGTGGGAAACGCGACGCCACGC